AAACCACCTGGCAGAACTGGCTGCCTGCATGCAGGGGCCTCCTGAAGTGCAAGGGGTGACGAAGATGCCTTGACCAGGTGAGCGGGCAGGTGGTCTAAGGAAGGTGGCCTCTCCCTGTTTGGTGCGGGGGGGCCCTCCTTAAGTTCGATGTGAAGGGTGCCTCCCTTCGCCGTGGGCTGTTCTTTTTCCAAAAGGCCCCTTTCTTTAGTGGATGCTCCGCCAACCTTATGCCAGGCGCCCAGGGCCACCGCTCGCCGAACACTCTTCCCAGGTCCAAGAGAGCCGTGGCTGCAGAGGGTGGGAGGGCAGGGCCCAGGACAGGGGCCGGTTGCCCTCTTGGGAGCAAGACACCCGGCTGAGGTGGGCCCAGACCTCCGTCTAAGCCAGGGGTCGGGCCTTCCCTGTGACCTGTCCGGAAGGAATTCCCTTGCGGGGGGGAGGGGGGAGGCGGCAGGTGAGAACGCTGCCGATGGGCATGTCTGCTCCCAGGAAGCGATGGGACTCCGAGATTAGTGGCGATCGGTGGAACCTGACCGGGGGGGGGGGGGGGGAGAGAAGGGCGGCCAGCCTTGGGAGCTGCCTCCCTACCTCTGTGTGTGTATGTGTGTGTGTGTGTGCGTGCCGTGCCCTTTGGCTTTACAGCACATAGAGTTAATCCCTGCCTGAATATGTATTTATCCTTCATTGGAAGTTGACACAATCGTGCCCTCCGTTAATTGGGGGAGACAGCTCCAATTGCGATTAGCATCTCATTTAAATATCAATCAGCGCTCCCAGGCAGGCAGTGAGGTGGCAGAAAGTTCAAGGAACAGCTCATGTTTGGCAAACAAGGAATAATCCTGGCAAACAGGGCAGTTCAGCGAACAGGAGCTCCCTGGTCTGGCCAGAAAGGAAGCCCCGAAGGCTCCCTCCCTCCCCCCCCCCCCCGGTGAGGGGGGGGCGGTACAAGCCAAGCCAGCCCTTCAGGCTCCTGGACGGGGTGGGATGAGAAAGCCTTTCGGTTCTCGCTGAGTGAATGAGCAGGACAGGTGTGTGTGTGTGGGGGGGGGGCTCTGTTCTTGTGCGGTGTCTTGTCTTCTCTGCTGGTGAATATACGAAAGGGCCAGAGAAAAGGGTGAATTTCACCCAGAAAATAGTGTGAAGGGAAAGTGTCAGCCTCCTCTGGTTTGCAGCCCCCTAAATCCTTCCTTCCTTCCCTCTCTCTCTCTCTTTCTCTCTCTCTCTCATGGGCCTTGAGGGTTGGACGATCCCTCCCCCTGGGCAGTGTGTCGGTCTTTTCGAAGGTCACCCAGGTTCCTTCCACCAGTTGGAGGGTTGGCTTTTTCTGGGGTTTTTAATGCCCCCCTCCATTTTTCTGCCTCTCTCTGTGGGGGACTCTTCCATTTAAAAAGCCCCCTTCATCCTTCTCCGCCCTGGAGCCGCCCACCCTCTCTAGAGGCCGGAGGTCTCATCCAGTGTTAAAGGGAGGGGGTCTGTAACAGCGGCAGGCTAGGGGTCGGGTGGGGGGAGATGGGGTGGCCTACCCTTTGGGGCTTGTGCTCTCTGCTCTGCAGAGGTGGGGGGATAACAGAGATGAAGGACAGGCAGAAGGTCTGGGGAGGCCTTGGGGGGGTAACTGTAACAGGGGAGGGGACCAAAACAGAAATGGGGAGACAGCTTTTTAAGAATACAGCAATTCAGTCCTCCCTCTGAACAGCCTTCCTGGCTGCATTGCATACCTTTTCATGTTACTGTACTCTGTTACTTTAAAAACAACAACGACCATTTGGGCTTGATGCAGGAATGGTATAACTCTTGAAAAGTTCCTATCAAAATGTTTCTCAACTGCCCTTTAAAGGTAACTTTTGGAAGTAAATAGAAACTGTGACTTGTTACACCAGTAAAATAACCTTGCCACTGTGCATTACATTCTTTCTGAAATGGAATGTTGCTCTTACCTCCCCCAAATACTGAGTTACAAGTACGCAACTTATTGCTTCCAAGCCCTCACTTGAGCTATAATGGTGAGACAGGTCTTCTCCTGTGCAAGCAACCTGGGATGTGTGTGTGCATGCATGCATGTAAATGTGCGCAGACCAAGTGAGCAAAGTGCCACTGCCTGAGGACCCTGGCTTGCTATTAATTATTATTTTTTTAAAAAAATCTGTAAATTCAACAGATGCAACATTCCTAAAAACCCAGTTCATTGCTTAAACATCTGCCTGAAGAGGAAGGTCTTTGCCTGAGGACAGAAGGCCAAGAGGGAGGGGGCAAACCTGGCTTCCCAGGGGGTGGTATTCCAACACCCGGGAGCAGCCACTGAGAAGGCCTTCTCGCCTGTCCCTGCCACACGTGGCTGTGAAGGAGGTGGGGCAGAGAGAAGGGCCTCCCCAGAAGATCTTAAAAGCTGAGAAGGCTCATATGGGGGGTGTGACCCCCCCCCCAAAATCTTTGCTCTGCTTTTCAGTTTGGTGGTGGGGCTATCTCTTATGTTCATATTCAGAGTGTATGCTAGATATGGGCAACATCCAGGGGCCATTTTCATCCTCAGGGAATCCAACAGATCATCCGTGTGAAAACGTCAGGCCAGAAGGGGTTGAAAGCGCCAGTCCAGTTATGAAAAATTAGTATTTGGGTGTGGGCGTGTGTTAAGGTCTTCTCGTTATGGCAGGGGAGTGCGGCTGTTTATTTTAAAGATGGAAAGCCGTTCCTGAAAGCTTCTGGGAGTCGTGATTCATAATTCTGGGAGGGGATTGGGGCCCACGGTAATAGCCCTGGAAGTTGTGGGGCAATAGGGCAGCCATCTCTGCTTTATACAGAGACCTCTCAAAAAGAGTTTCAATATATCCCAGGCAGGAGATGTAGGTGGCCCATTAATTTCAAGGAAAGGGGATTATTCTCTCCTTCAAATCATCTTCCACTTCCTTATTAAGCAATTAGCTGTTGTTAAGTTCTTAGTTGTTTGTGACCTAGTTTCTCTCTGCCTCATGTGTAATTCTGACTTAGTTCAAGATTCAGAAATGTAACAAATGCCTAGCTTTGCATAAGACAGCCTCTCTCTCTCTCTCTCTCTCTCTTGTCTCAAAAATGCTATTGGGTGTATGTTCCATCATACAGTAAGAGGTACCTGTGATATAGTCCAGCAGCTGGTAGCCCGACTGAGTCAACTGGTTCCTCCCTGGTGGGTTTGAGAGGGCTGTGCCCAGGCTTCCCTGATGGCACACCTTCAACAGGATCTCTCTCTTCCTCTCTCTTTTCTGGACTGACCTACAGAAGAGCGTGAAAGAAGGGCTTCTGCTAAAGCAGACGAGTTCCTTCCAGAGGTGGAAGAGGAGGTATTTCAAGCTGCGAGGGCGGACGCTCTACTACGCGAAAGATGCCAAGGTGAGGGTCGCTTCTGGCCATGAGTACAGAAAGGGAAGTGTGAGCGGCCGCTGGGTTCAGCCGAGGAAAAAGGCTGGCCTCTTTCCTCTTTTGAGGAGAGCTCCCTGGCCGGGCTTCTGCCGCTCCCGTTATAAGGTTGCAACCCTGAACCAAGCAGCTCCTGCAAAAGCACTCCAGCCCCCCTTCTGAGGGGGGTCCAAGAGCAAGAAGCCGCCTCATTTTTAGTCTGCTTGGGCATCTAGGGCAAGGGGACAGCAGGAGGCTGAAGGCGGGGAAGTCACAGGTGGCACCTCTTCTGGCTGCTGCTGCCACCAAAAAACATCTCATTAGATCTTGAGGCCTGTCGTCAAAGCATGTCGAGTTCTTCTCCAGTTCTGCCATAAGCAAGAGAGGAGAGGGGACCAGGTCCTCCCCCCCCCCCCCCCCGTTTCTTGGATTGACGGGAGGAGTCGTGAGATGGATGAAGGAAAGGGACCTGGGCGGGTAGAGGAGAAGGCAGAGGAGAAGGCCCTTTCCGTCAGGCCATTTGCTGTCCAGGCCCCGTCATCGGTTCCTCACGGCTCCTTTCTTCCCTGCACCTTTCAGTCCCTGATCTTTGATGAGGTGGACCTGTCAGATGCCAGCGTAGCCGAGACCAGCACCAAGAACATCAACAACAGCTTTACGGTGGGTCTGGATGCCTTGGGCGACATCCCAGACATCTTTCTTGCTCTCTCTCTCTCTCTCTCTCTCTCTCTCTCTCTCTCTCTCTCTGCCTCTTCTAACCTGATGGGTCGGTTCTGCTGCCTGCTTCTCCTTTCAGGTGATAACACCATTCCGAAAACTCATCCTCTGTGCAGAGAACCGGAAGGAGATGGAGGACTGGATTGGTACCCTGAAGTCTGTCCAGAAATGGGAAATCCATGAGGTAGTAGAACGGGAGCTGTCCCTGTGGGCAGCTGGGTGGGCACTGCTCAGCCGGAGAGAGAGGGGCCAGGCTCCCTTTGCAGGATGGGCCTTCCCATACTGGTGCTGCATGAGCCCCGTTGCCGGTGTGGAGTGTGAGGTGCGGAGAATTTCTTTCAATCAGAGGAACGTTTGTGCTCCAGTTTCTTTGTCCTGGCAAAGGAGAGAAGCCCTCCCTCCTTTGAGCGCAGAGCAAGCCTGACGTGCCCTCGGCCCAGGCCCCCACCCCCACCCCCACCCCTCTGCTGTCCTATGTTGCAGGCCTCCCAGTTCAACATGGAGCACTTCTCTGGGATGCACAACTGGTACGCCTGCTCCCACGCCCGCCCCACCTTCTGCAACGTCTGCCGGGAAGCCCTCTCCGGGGTCACCTCCCACGGCCTCTCTTGTGAAGGTAACTGGACCCCTTTTCCTGCTTGGCAGCTTCCTGCCCAGCCCGACCCAGTCCAGAGCAAACAGGGGCAGGAGAGGGACCCCAGCCGAGATGGGGATGGCCCAGATATGGGGGTGGAATGAGGCCGACCCCTTCCCTCACCTCCACCAAGAGGAAGCGTTTCGGGACCCTGGCTGTAGCCAAGCGAGCCCTCAGTCTGGCTGGCCTTCACCTCCCACTGAGCCCGGCGGCCACCGGTTCTCCCCTCCTTGCCTGCCCACCACGTTCTGCCTGACTGTGTTTCCTCCTAGTTTGCAAGTTCAAAGCCCACAAACGCTGTGCCGTGCGTGCCACCAACAACTGCAAGTGGACCACGTTGGCATCGATAGGAAATGACATAATTGAGGATGAAGACGGGGTAACTCCTCCCTCCCTCCATCCCCTCACCCTCGTTTGGCCCTCCCCCTTAGCGGTTAGGATGCTTCCCTGGTGTCGTGGGTAGGGAAGGGCCGCCTCAGGGGCCTGGCTGGGGTTGACGTGGTCTCTATTTTCCCTTTAAATAGGCCCATTTAGAAGTCATGTTTCTATCAACGTCAAGCGAAAACTTCGCTGCTCAAGGGTTGGCACCTGGTGGAATCCAGGCTTGGCCCAGTCATTCCGTTGGCTGGGTTTTGTCCTGTTTAGATGGTTAACCCATTTCAAATCATTTCTAAAACCTTTTAAATAGTTTTAAAGTATTTCTCATATTTCAGACATTTTCAGAGTAATTTTATGAGCGTTGAGCCCCCTCCCCCCCAGACTGGCATCAGCGGCTCAGGCCTAAGGCTGGGGCCATCATCTGGGGGAGGGGGAAGGCCTGCACCCCCCCAGCCCCCCCCTTGCCCCCCTCACAGGGCTCCTGCAAAAGGGCCAGCCCGGCCGGCAGGCGCACGCCGTGAGCTCCGGCTTCTTTCCCCAGGTGGCTATGCCTCACCAGTGGCTGGAGGGGAATCTGCCCGTCAGCGCCCGCTGTGCTGTCTGTGACAAGGCGTGCGGGAGTGTGCGCCGGCTGCAGGACTGGCGGTGTCTCTGGTGCAAGACGATCGTAAGAGCGGCTCTTATGTTCTCTCCGGCCCCCTTCCCTCCCTCCCGCCTTCTGGCTTCCTGGCGGCAGCTCTTGCTCGAAGCTGAGCTTCTGGTCTGCTGGCCAAGCAGAGGGCAGGGCTGGGGGTTCGAATCTCTCCAGCATTGCTGTGACAGCGTGAAGGAGATCCAAGCCTGTGGTCGGGTTATTCACCTCTTGGCTGGGAATGTGTGGGCCATCGGGAAGCGGAGCACACAGTGTAGGGCCTGCAGCTCCCCTTTGACAGGAACTATCCTCCCTGGCCCAACGAGAGGGTCCGTTTCTGAGCTTTTTGGTCGGCAACGTGAGTGTCACCCAGGCCCTGACCGCCCCTGCCTCTTTCCTGGCCGCCAGGTCCACAGCGCCTGCAAGGAGCAGCTGGGCAAGAAGTGTCCCCTGGGGCAGTACAAAGTCTCCATCATCCCCCCCACCGCCCTCAACAGCATTGACTCGGATGGTGAGTGAAGAGCGGCTGCGGTAGAAGGGCTGGAAGCCTCTGGAGGCACAGAGCGCTCGGGGCGGCCGTTTGTCTTGCCCTTGAGCTGCGCTCCAAAACAGGCCGGGAAGCACTAAGGGGGGGGCGCTCTCCGTGAGCGGGGAACAACCCCGGTCGGCACTGCAGGTCTGCGTGACCATTTTACCAGCCGCCGGGGAACAAAGCAGTGGTGCAGGTGGGTCTTAACCATGCACGGCTTTTCCTCTGTCGAGCCAGGATTCTGGAAGGCCACCTGCCCCACCTCCTGCTCCAGCCCTCTGCTGGCCTTCGTCAACTCCAAGAGCGGGGACAACCAGGGGGTGAAATTCCTTCGCAAGTTCAAGCAGTTTCTCAACCCAGCGCAAGTCTTTGACCTGATGAATGGGGGGCCGCACTTGGGGTAAGCGTGGCCTCCTTCAGAGCCCCCTCCTCTGCTTCTGAGGCCTGGCAATGAGTGTGCAGAAGGTCTTTCTCCCCGGCCACCGCAGGTCCTGGCCCACAGCTGCCACCCTTGTTGGCCAGAGAGGTCCCTCCACGTGTCTCACCGATACGCAGGCATCCGCCTGGAGCGGGAGCCACTCTGCAGCATCCTTGGCAATGGGCTGGGTGGACTGGCCTCCGTCCTGCAGAGAGCCCCCCCCCTTGATTCAGAGGGACCGGGTGGTTGTGCCCTGGCAGCCCACCTTGTTTTCCTCCCCCCCCTTCCCCCAGGCTTGGCCCTCTTGGGTGTAGGCTGGCAGTGCACCGCCTGCAGGAACCGAACCCACTCTCCTCCTGACGCGTGGCTGAGGAGCGGGGCAGGCGGCGGGGATCTGCAGGCCCTGAGGGGGCCGCTTCCCTGGCGCTCCGTGGGCCAAGCCTCTCCTCTTCTCCTCCGGCCAGGCTGCGACTCTTTCAGAAGTTCCCTTCCTTTCGGATCTTGGTGTGCGGCGGCGATGGCAGTGTGGGTTGGGTGCTCTCTGAAATAGATGCCCTGGGACTCCACAAGCAGGTCTGAACAAACCTCTCCTCCCTCTTCCTCTCCCTTTTCCTCTCCCTCTGCCTCCCCCACGCCCACCCCCCAGTATGCGCCTTGCTTTCTTGAGTGGGTGCCTGGCCCTTGCCAGCGGCCAGAGGACAAGCAGGCAGGGCAGGAGGAGCAAGAAATCCCGGCCTCCATGTTTCAGTGCCCTCCCTCCCAAGGGGAAAGCAAGCAAACGAGAGGGCGTGAGACCCAGATGCCTTTTCGTCTTGGCAGGGTGACGTCGGGGCTGAAGCAAAGGGCAAAACGCTGGCAGTGGTGCGTGCCCAGGTTGTGTTCCCATTAAGGTTTCCTCCTGCCGCCCCCGCCCCCTCCCCGAATTTGCATAATGGTGATATTTCAGTTTTTACCCAGAGCGGGAAAGAATGGAAGTGAGATGAAAGAAATGGTTTGTGGCAGCAGGTTGCCATAGCAACCAAGACTCTCCTTCATCCGTCTATGAAAGGTTCTGCCATAAGAAATGTGTTGGCTTTTAAGGCGACCCAAAGCTCCATGTCTATCCTTTGGCTCCTATGGAGTTTTTGTTGTTTCCTTGCAGCTTTCAGGTCAGGGGGGGGGAAAGAGAGGAGGGGGGGAGCAGGCGATCACTCTGATTCCACATGGCAGGATTTTGCAAATCTGGATGGGGGTCCATTTGTGTCTCCTGAGAGCCAAATGTGTCGGGAGTGTGCCCTTCGCCTGTGACCCCCCCACCTCTCCCCATGGTTTCCGATTAGTGCCAGCTCGGGGTGCTGCCCCTGGGGACCGGCAACGACCTGGCTCGGGTGCTGGGCTGGGGGAGCCTCTGTGATGATGACACCCAGCTGCTGCAGGTCCTGGAGAAGCTGGAGCGAGCCACCACCAAGATGCTGGACAGGTGATTCTCTCCCCCCCCCGCCCCAGCTGACGTGGCCTCCAGGGTGAAGGGTGTGCGCGGTCCTCCGTGGGAGGAAGGGAGCTCCCACTCACTGGAGGGGTGGGGGAGAGAGGGGGGGCTCTCAGCAGTCAGCCCACTTGATCTCTCGGGCCTCCACTCCCAGAAACTCCAGGCAGGATGGGAAATGATCTGGGGATTCTGGGTGCTGGAGCCAAAAACATCTGGAGGGCCCGAGGTGGAGAACTACTGCTCTGGCCGACAGCAAGAAAAGTGGGCACCGAAAAGGCCAAGAATGGGCTCGGAGGTACCTTGTGTGTGGCAGGGAGGCTCAGAGGGCCCACTGACCTGCACGGCTTGGCTCTCTCTGCCACATGGAGACAGATAAACCCCGCTTCAGCACCGGAGCCCCCCTGCCTCCACTGAGAGGCATCTGCGGTGCAGTTTCCCAGGGACAGAAAGTGGTCTCTACCATGCCAGGGCCCCTTGCTTCCCTATGGCTCCTGTGCCAGGGTGGGCACGAGGGAGCCTCACAGCCTCTCTCTCTCTCCCTGTGCAGGTGGAGCGTCCTGACCTATGAGGCCCCCAAGCAATCCCCACCGGCCATCAAGGAAGAGGAGAGTGAGGATTCCAACATCCAGGTTAGGACGATGGGAGGTCCCTCTGCTCCCTGGCAAGGACTGCTTTCGGCGGGAGCCAGGCACAGAGGAACGAGGGGGCTGGAGGGCTGCTGAGGCTACAGAAAGTGGGCTCCCAGCTCTCCCCCCTCTTCCTGCAGCAGAGCCCAGCCAGGGGCCAGAGCGCTTGCCCCTGGGGACTCCTGGGTCTTCTGCTCCCACGACCAGAGGCTTCCCTTCTTTTCTCCCCCAGGCTCACATTTCCCACTATGCCGATTCCGTGGCCTTCCACTTAGCCAAGATCCTGGAGTCTGACAAGCACTCCGTGGTGATTTCCTCAGCAAAGTAAGGGGCGATGCTCTAGCTGGATCTTGGGGCCTTGAGGTGAGGGTGTCCTCAAACGCCTCTGGGGGAGGAGTGCCCTGCTAGACAAGCTCTTTGGGTCTGGCCAGAGTCTCAGGGAATTGCCCAGGCTTCCCCAGGTCTCCAGGTGAGGAGGCAAATTTCAGGTCAAGTCAGGCTGTGTGAAGTGGTGTTAAAACCCAAGCATCTGCCTAAAACCAGATGTGATGGAAATATTGGCCCAAATGCTGTTGCTTGGCATAGTCAGTTACATTAGAGTAAATCCATTGAATGAAAGGAACCTAAGGAGGAGTTGTCTTATCCGGTTCCTACTGATTCAAGGGTCCTCTTCCAGTTGAGACTTTCCGTGCTAAGCCGTGGGAGGTCAGCCACTATTTATATGAAAGAGTGCTTTAATTAAAAGCATACAGTACTTGATTTTAAAGTTGGTGTGTGTGTGTGTGTGTGTATCTGTAAATTTCCGTCTATGTCATCTGAAGGCATTTGCGTTGGTTAGAATGGTTGATGCTTCCAAGGGTCTTCCAGGCTCCTCGGGTGGTTGTTTGTTCTCCAGAGTGAGGTTTTTTTGGGGGGGGGTGTCTGGGGCCAAAGAGAGATGACTTCCGAGGTCTCAGTGGGAGGAAGAGGTGACTCGGAAGAGGCTGCTGCTTCAGCTTCCCTTCCTTGCAGGTTCCTTTGTGGGACCGTGAATGACTTTGTGGCTGATGTTGGCAAAGCCTACGAGCGGACGGCTGACAGCAAACAGGAGGCGGACACCATGGCGCGCAAGGCAAGTGTGGGCAAACTTCAGCTGGTTGTGTGGCCAGCTGTCCAGGGCACAGCAAATGGGCATTCCTGGGTGGGATCGCCAGGCCCAGAAGATGGTCTTGATCCATGGTTGTATCTCCTTCCATTGATACATGGTTTTTCTTGGCCATGAGCCCTCTCGAGGGCATCCGGGCACTGTGGGGCAGAGAGGAAACAAGGCATGCTCGTCCCAGCCCGGACGCCATCTCACCCGGGAGCCCTCCTGCCTCTCTCCTTCCAGTGCGCGATGCTGAACGAGAAACTGGACTCACTGGTCCGTGAGCTGAACGAGGAGTCTCAGGCCATCGTGGTCCCTGAGGGCACTTCTCCGGCTGCCTTGCCCAGCCCTGAACCCAGGGAGGGGGGCAAGGAGGGCCCCTTCCACCCCAGCCCCATGCCTCGCATCTTCAAGTCCAAGGAGCAGCTCATGCTACGAGCCAACAGCTTGAAGAAGGCCCTGCGGCAGATCATCGAGCAGGCGGAGAGAGGTGAGGCTGGAGAAGACCGTCCCCTTTGGAGGGAGCGCCCCCCCCGCCGTCCCCCCTCTGGTGGTGTTTGGGCCCTGGGCAAGGGGCGGAACGGAAGCAGACAAAGCTGCTGGACCCGGAGCCCGATGGCCAAGTCTCGTATCGCCCCTTCGGCCAGGCCACCGTCCCATCCTGAACACACACCCCTCCATCTCACCTGATTCCCAAAGCTAAGCAGGGCCAGGGCTGGTGAGCCCATGAATGGGAGACCCTCAGGAATCCCAGGGAACTCCAGGCGGGGCTAGGAAGCTTTCGGTCTAAATGCCTGGAGAGCCGTGGTTGCTGCCAGTCAGAATGAGGCGAGAATTGTGGGCTAGGTGGACCAATGGTCTGCCTTCAAGGAAGCTTCGAAGTCAGGCAAGGGTCTTCTCTGCGGCAGCCCCCCCCCCTGTTTCTGGAGCTGCCCTCCCCAGAAAGACCCGCCTGGCCCCTGCTTTGAGGCTTCTTGCTTGGCCAGGCCATTAATGCCTCGGCAGCAGCAGCAGCAGCAGCAGCAGCAGCAGCAGCTCTTCCTGTGGTTGGCTGGCCGGTGATTTAAGCTGCTTCTCATTCATCTTTCCACGGCTTCCATGGTTTTGTCATAGACTTTGTTGGTTCCAGCCTTTGGTTCGTTGGTTCGTATCAGCCATCCTGAAAACGCTTGCAGTTGTAAGACAGCATGCGTCTTTTTAATAAGACATCCACCTTCTGTTTGCCAATTCCCCCCTCCCCGGCCGCTGCCTGTACAGCTGTGGACGAGCAGAACAAGCAGACTCAGACTTACCAGAGCATCTCCGGGGCCGGCAAGAAGGACAGCAGCGAAGACTTCAACAAGGAGACAGAAAAGTGCAGTAAGTCCCTGGCGCGTGTAAGCTCTGGGCTGTGGGAGGAGGAGGAGGAGATGGCAGACGTGCTCAGGGCCCACCAGCCCCCAGGGGCTCTATGGGGCTCATGGGGGGGGGCAGATGTAGCTCAAATGGTGAGAGGGGCCATTGAATGACGCCATTGGCTGGTGTTTAATTTTTATAGCCAGGAGTGCCGAGAGAAGCCTCTGAGATTTTCTGCCCCTTGCGAAACGGAGCCTGTGCCCTGGGCATCACCACTTTGGGTGGGGGTGGGGGGCATTTGCCGCCTTGCTTCAGGCTGAAAAATAGCTGAGATGGCCCCTGGCCCGAAGCGAGAGGGGCTGCTGGCTGTGGCCTCATTTGTGGGCCTCTCGCCGGGACCTCCAGGCTGGGGGACGAGAGCAACAGGCAAGGGCAGCTGCCTCGGGTCTGATCCGGCATAATTCTCCTTGTAAGTGCGGTGAGGATGATGGCTCTCTGCCTTTTCTTTCCCCCAGAGTTCCGCCGGGACACAGTGATCTCCACCACTTCGTCCATCATCCTGGACAGGCCTGAGAGCTTCGGCGCGGCCCACTTTGCCGAGGACCCGGACGCTGTGTGAGTGCCTGCCTGCGTCCCGTCCCTGGCTTTCTTCCGGAGCCTCTTGGAGAAGGGGGGTGGGGGCTGCCAGCCCTTGGAGGGGGTCAGGAAGGATCTCTTAAAAAGAGGGCAAATGGGCTCATGGGCCTCCTTGCCACGGGTGGCCCTTATCATAATTACTCACCTTTGAAAGTAAGCTGTGGGGCCAGAGGGTGGGAGTTCGATTCCCCACTGAGCCTCCTTGAGAGGGGATGGCCTGGATGGTCCTTCCAGCACTGCAGTTCTAACTAAGACCATTCAAATGCTAAGCTGTTTTTTCCCCTCCCAAAGACACGTAAGGCGTCTATTTACTATTTTCCTTTAAGTAAATGACTATTTTTAAAATAAGGATGAAAAACAGATAGGGTGGCAGATGCAGCTTGAACTGGACTGGCAACCCTTTATTCCCCTCCCCCCCCGGGGCAAAATATTGGCAGTAGGATCTGCAAGAGGATGATAGTGTTCTGTTCCAAGCAACCCTCTTGTGTTATCCTTTTGCACCTCTCTTTGCCTCCGAAGGCGTCTTGCATGGGCCACTCTTGGCCTGTAGTGTTGGTTTCAATGGTAAAACGTCACCCCTTCTTCCCCCTGAAGCGAAGCCCTCCGGGGCTGCTCTGACGGGTGGGGTGGGGTGGAAGAGAGAGACAGAGAGAGGGAGAGCTGATGAATGAAAGGGAGGAGGATGGAGGAGGAGGAGGAGGTGGTGGTGGTGACAGCATCTGTGAGGTGCTTTGTCTTGACCCACAACGTAGTCCTTGCCCTTTGAGTGCCCCACTCCACCCTTCAGCCCACGTTCCCTCCCTGGGGAGAAGGAGGTTTGGGAGCAGCTTTCCCAGGTCCTTCTGGTGACCTTGAGATGCCTGGCCTTGCTCCAGCTCTTAGCATCCTGCCTGGAGTTGGATGAACAGACACCTGGAAACCCGCCAGCACCCTGAGCATGCTTTTGAAGATGCCAGGAGTGGCTCCCTTCGCAGCCCAGCCGATGCGGGTGTGACTTTCGTGTCACCCGGCCAAGCTCCCCCTCCCTTCCCAGCTCCTGCAACTGGTGCTCCAAAGCCCTTCTGCCGCTTTCCGTGGAGCTGTGGGGTCGGAAGGGGGAGAGGAAGAGGCTGAACGGAGAGAAGAGGTGTTATGTATTCTGACCGCGTGCTGCGGGTTCTGCTCCAGTGCTTCTGTCTGAACTGCTTCTTTCCCCTCCATCTGCTGGTTTCAGACAATTCTCTGAAAGATGCGTCATGAATAATTACTTTGGCATCGGCCTGGACGCAAAGATCTCTCTGGAATTCAACAACAAGAGGGACGAGCATCCCAAGAAATGCAGGTAGCGTTGAAAAACCTCACAACCCTCCCCAAAATGGAGGAGCCCAGATTTTGCGACCCAGGATCAGGGGCAGGGGTATCCAGTAGATTCATTGCGTAGGGCAATATTTTCCCTGCTTGCCCTCAAGGTGAACCATCCCCAGCCTCGGAGGTGATGATAGACGGAGTTGCGCAACAAAAAGTATGGGGAAGCCCTTTGTTCCGACCACCGCCACCCCGGCCCCACGTGCACAGAGAGAAGGGCGGCCTTTGCAAAGCGCTTAGGCAACCTCTTTCCCTTTGCAACCGTCGTCTCGGGAGTGCTGCAAATTTTTCCACTGGCCCAGAAGACCTGGTGGTGGTTTTTTCTGTCCTCTTCTCGCTTTGTGTCAGACAGGCTTGGATGGGATGGGTGTGGGTGACAGCTGTGGGTTTTAGGGCAAGGGGTGGGTGGATTATCAGACCGAGGAGTCCTGGAAGGGGGCACCTGCCCCCTAACAGGAGGAAACACTTTGGGGGACTTTCCCTCCAGCTGCTCTTTCAGCGCATGCAAAGGAGGGAGGGCGCTGCTCCTGGGGACCCTTCCCCAGAGCCAAAAGCCACTTACCCAGAGCGAGGCCTTCAAGGCCAGGATGTTGTCCCAAGGATCTCGTGGACTTGGAGGGAGAAAGGGAGGGGAGAGGAGGAGGAGGGCAAATTAGGGTGGCAGCTTCATCTTCCAGCAGTGCCCTTCATTCAAGGGCTGTGCAAATGTTCCCTAATTAGGCCTCCTGTGGGTAGCCCTAGGGAGCAAGGAAATTATGCTCCAGCCCCTGAGAAACCGACCCGGGGCCACCGCAGCAGGAGCTGGGCCTGCGTGGCAATCCGGAACAACCAAGCGCCCACCAGAGATAAAGCCAGAGGCTCCTCCAGCCCCCGCCCCGGGAGCTCTGGGAGCAAGCCTAATAGCGCTACTTAATTATCGTTAATTGCATGCCCTCAAAAGGTTCTAATCAGGCATGGAGGAGACTGCTGATGGTTTTAGTCCCGAGGAGAGGGGATAAAATCAGGCTGCACAAAGAGGGCTGGGCAGGGGAGGACTGGCCAGCCGGGATGGGGCCAAGTCCAGGAGGGAGACGCCGTCCCTCTTGGGGTGCAAGACAGAAGAGAGGGTCACCTACGGAGGCTGCCCCTGGCCGTCAGCCACGCCAGGAGGAGGAGGAGCAATTATGGGTGCCCCTTCTTCATTCATTCATTCATTCATTCATTCATTCATTCATTCATTCATTCATTCATTCATAGCCCACTTTTCTCCTTGAAAAAGACCCAAGACGGCTTACAACAATAAAAGACAGTGCTGTACAGTATTGGAAGTTGAAAGCAATGAGTATACAACAGTGATTAAGGTTATTAAAAGACAATATTGAAAGGTAAGGACAACGGAGTATAAAGAGGCACCTACGTTATATCCTTAAAAGGCCATATTAAAGCCAAGGACCAGTGTACAGATATTTTTAACATGTCACTCAGAGAAACGGGAGACACAAAACTGGAGTACTGTACAGTATTGGAAGTTGAAAGCAATGAGTATACAACAGTGATTAAGGTTATTAAAAGACAATATTGAAAGGTAAGGACAACGGAGTATAAAGAGGCACCTACGTTATATCCTTAAAAGGCCATATTAAAGCCAAGGACCAGTGTACAGATATTTTTAACATGTCACTCAGAGAAACGGGAGACACAAAACTGGAACAGGGAAGTGGTGTTCAACATCTGCCTTTGTGCCACTTGCAGCAGCCGCACCAAGAACATGATGTGGTATGGAGTTCTGGGCACCAAGGAGCTTCTCCAGCGGACCTACAAGAACCTGGAGCAAAGAGTCCAACTCGAGGTAGGGCAGAAGCGGGAACGGCAATCGGGGTGGGGGTGGGGGGAAGAGTCCCGGCTGATCCAAACCAGTGGCTCTCCTCCACCTTAGTTTGCCGGTGGCGGCTTTTGCAAGACAAGTCCCCCCCGCGGCATAAAATGGAGTGGGTGGGCGTTCCCCACTCTTCCCCACTGCGGGCACATCACCCTCCCCCGGGGCCACTGCAGGCAACTTTGCCCCCTTCCTCCTCCTCCTCCTCCTCCTCCCCCTCCTCCTCCCCCTGCCCGACCGGGTGCCCCCACCGAGGGGCCGCTCAGACTCCCTTCTCCTCCTTCCAGTGCGATGGGGTGCCCATTTCCTTGCCCAGCCTGCAGGGCATTGCTGTGCTCAACATTCCCAGCTACGCAGGAGGCATCAACTTCTGGGGAGGCACCAAGGAGGACAACGTAAGTGGCGGAGGGGGGGCACGAGGGGGGGTGGCTCAGCAGGCCTGGGTTGCCCATTGGCCCAAGCCCCTGAGGTCCCCTTCCCTTTGCTCGTGGCTCCAGCCAGAGATGGAGGGAACGGTCTCTCCCTTTGACTCCCCTTGTCGTCCATCCTTCAGGTGCCACAAAGTGGGGTGCTGTT